GATTGTGTACCATTCATCCTTGCCCTGCCTCCCATCCCTTCCCAAGCCAAACAAACTATTCATTTTTGGCATATTTCAAACTTCCATTTCTTTCTTAGTCTTCCTTTACCATTTCCCAATCTCTTTTCTTAGGCTGACTGAGATAAAACAAATTTCCATTCTTGAAAAAATAAAAACCCTTAATAAATTAGTTTTTACCCTTATGATTTTGATTATCCATTCATCATGGGTCAATTGACAGAAAAGTGAACTCCCTACTTGTGGCTTAAAGCCAAAACCAGGTTTCAGCTTTCAGGGGATTCTTGAGGAAACCCTGTTAATAACCCCAATGCCCTTACAGAGGAATGAGATGGTCATATTCTAGGTACAATGTCCCCACTGAGTGGGACCCAGTCATTTTGTGAATCAACTGAAAAAGTGGGTGGCCGAAATGTAGGAAATGTGTACTATTCAGCACTCAGCTCTGAAGAGCAGAGTGGATTGGCACAAGTCTCTGTGTGATGGGCAAAGGAAATTTGGGGTGTGGTGTAAAAGTCCTATACTTGGAGACTTGCCCTTTCATAGCTACCAGCTGAGTGGTCTTGAGTAGGTGAAAGTGTAACTTTCCCATGTGTCAGGGACAGTTCTAAGATGGTAACTTCTCACAGCTCAGTGAGGTAGGATGTATTATTGTCTTCTGTATCAGTCAGGATTCTCCAGAGAAACAGAACCATTAAGATTTATATATATATATATATATATATATATATATATACACACACACACACACATATGTGTATTCATGGGTTCAACTAGGTATTTTTCTAACAAATTATAGCCAGATAGAAATTGTGAATCAATTCAATACCGTACATTGCCTCAGTATGTGAAAAATGACATAAAACAACGAAATATATGCCTTTTTCTTTTTCATTTCTCCTAATCACACTCACTGAGGATACAACCCAGAGGCACTGGGTGAGCTTTACCAAATTACACAAAAAATAGTCTCATGCATGGATACTTTTATTCAGCAGGGTGGGGTGGGTGCAGGTATTCCTTATCTACAAAACTCCCCAAGTATTACTAAGGCTAACCCTATGGGTTAACCACTGTATAGCCTCTTTCCTTTAACAAGAAGTTTTTTGCCTCAAAAACTTTTGCAAAATCTTTTCTTGATCCCATCGCCTGCTCTTAACTTCAGGCTTGACTACTTGAACCTGAGTGAAGAGAAGGTGATGACTTATTCCTCAGCCCCTAAAATCAGTACAAATCCCTTTAACCTTTTACACCAAACAAAGGAGCTAAAGATGAGAAAAGTGGGAGTGAAATTTTACATCTGTTCCATGAAATCATGTGAATGCTTTTCCTTTAGACCAGTGCTGTCCAACAGAACTTCCTGGCTGATGGAATGTTCTTTGTCTGTGTTTTCCCCTAGGGTAGCCACTAGCCATGTACTAAGCACTTGAACTGTAGCTCGTGGCTTCCATAACAGACAACACAGCTCTGGACAGAAGTCAAACTCTGCCTGCTCACAGCCTTTCTGACACCTGCTATCTGATCTTCATTTCATGAACTCAGTCAGTACATATTCCTTGAGTACCTCCTTCATGCCTAGCACATTGTAGGCACTGGGGATATAGCAGAGAACAAATATAAACCTTCCCTGCTCTTATGGAGCTTACATCCTAATTTATAATAACTGGTCTCTTTAAAATCACCAGACTCATATGAGGTATTCCACAGGTAACTCTGGGTTAATTTTTTTTTAACTGTGATATTTTGGAGCAGAAAAGCAAATACTTATAGTTTGAGAAGCAATGCAGTTCAATGTATTGAAGAAACTAGAGGATGCTGAGAGACCACACAAGAAAAGAGAAGTAAACTCATGAAAGTTTTCTGGAAGGGTACAAACCTTAGTAACAGATAACCAGTTTAGGTGTTATTTCCAAAACATAATAAGCCCACCCTGGACCATCTGAATGACCAGGCAGATTCAGATTCAGCTGCCATGGGATAAGGACAGAGGAATTCCAGGCTAGGTTGTTTATCTTAATTCCCACATGAGATGGAATCAGGAGTGAACCAAATTCGTGACTGGAAAAAGTATTTCCAAGCAGCTGTATAAATTAAGCATTTGGTGAAAGCATTCAAGAGATTAAAGTAAAAAGTTTAGGGATTAAAAAAAATAAGAATGGTTTGATAAACAAACAAACATAAGCAGCTGGTAAAGGAGGAGCCAAAGATAAGACCATTACTACTCATCTCAGGCTTTTTCCAGGATGCCATGCAGGCAGCTGAGCTGGGTCAAGTTTCTGAGATGCTGGGTGCTGCAGCTGGTGAGCTCAGCATCAGGATAGGTCAAACTCCTAACAGCTGGACTCTGGCCAATGACAAATGTCAATGACAGATGCCCCTAGAAATGATCAGAATTGGGTGCCTTGATGGTGGGTATTTGCCAAGAAGGGGAGAGAGGGCTGTTCAGAATTGCTACAGTGGGATCATCATTACTAATAAAACCCAGAACTAAGATCATTCATCAGCAACCTTACCTAGTTCTGGGGGCAGAACGGTCAGGCGGTTCCCCTGAATGTGAAGTTCCTTAAGCTGAGTAAGCTCCCCAATTTCCTTAGGCAGCGAGATCAGGTCGTTATCCCTAAGGCTGAGCTAAACATAAGAAAACAAGGAGTTGTCAAAACAATTTTCACATAAAGAGGCGCTCAACAGAAACTCTTGTCCTCTTCCATGCCCTCTCTTCTCTGAAGGCTCAATCCTTTCCATTCATTTACAAGTGTCTGCAGATAAAAGAGAAACCGCACAAGGAATAGCAGTTTACTCCTGCACAACAAACCATACTCCTGGTCAAATTGACTTGATTCTACTCCTACAAGGGCTGCAGAAGTGAATTGATTTTCTAAGAATTTAGATAAATTACTTACTATCTGCAACTTTGTGAGCTTCCCAATATCTGGCGGCAGGATTTCAAAATCGTTGTCACTTAGATAGAGTGCACGCAGGGTGGCTGCAAATTAAACAGCAATATATAAACAGGGTGGCATGGAACCCAACCATTTGAGGTCTAATCAATATAAGGGAGTCAGCTTTGATTAATAACCCTGGCTTGGTGAAAAGCCTGTGACATACCTAGAGCTCACAATAATAACAAGCAGGTCAAACTTACATTTACTGGCTTATTGTAGGGCTGGTGTGTTCAGGAAAACATCTATATCCAAGAGGACTGACATAATTAACAGCTGTGGGCACCAGCAGTTTTGGGCATGGAGTATCAATATGCTTTCAGAGAAGATTGCTATTTTTCCTCTATTACATCTGATTCACATTTATTGCTTTATTTGCATCCAAAGCAAAAAAACAAAGAAAACCAATGGGTCACTTATGTCAGTAATTACTGATAAAGGGTTCTTTCATGTAACTACAACTATGTTAAACATAATTAACTAAGAGGCTTTCCTGTGATGGAGGCCATATTGCAGTTTACTATTTCTATAATCACACTAATTACTACTCATTTCTATTGCCTTACTGACAAAAATAAGTGAAGACAAAGGAGCTAAAACAATGACATGGGGTTTTAAATAGAGAAAACCTGAACTTAGGCAGAGCATCAGTAATCAGAAATTTATTCACAATATTACATAATGATAACATGAAGTGTACACTGTAAGGCATCCTTTTAACCTCAACCAAAAAGGAGAAATATAATCAGATGCATTTTGTTTGTTTGCAGGTTTTCAATAACACTGCAATGTTTTAAAATTTGACAAATCTGTATGTAATTATACATAACACAAAAAATTTCCTCTGTGGCCCAAGAAAATATTTAAGAATTGGCTTCATGTGCTTGAGAAAGTCTGGGAGAGAAAGCAGGCATATGAAAAGTTTCTAACTCAGAAAAACCATATTCTCTGGATGCCATACATGTCGTTATTTGGAGAAAAAGAACATCCAAGCAAGGAAAGCAACTCTTCCCTAAACATTTCATGAGTTCTCAGAAAAATAAGCTTTTTCTAACCTTTACAGGAACCTGCAGCAAAAATTCCATTTGCACACAGAGGATAAAGTGTGTTTATCTGTGACAATTTCTTAATGTCTGATTGTGTATTATAGATAGACTAGACTTCATCAATAAGAGCATTCTTTAAAAGGCTTAAAATAGGAATCCTGGCTGGAAATTTTTAAAATTCTATTAGAGGCTTATTAATGGGTAGTTTGATAAATAAGTGGCTAGAATATCTTTGGGAAAATAGATTACAAAAAGTTAACAGCCACATGAGAGGACACATACATTATTTTATTTTAATTTTTTTGCATGCTCTTTAGAAAGAAAGTCAAGTTCCCTAGCTTAATGTGAGACTTGATCTCATTTAGGTACATAATCTCTATCAGAAAGTTAATATGACATTACTAAGTCCACTTCAGTGCAATGATATCAGGTAACCATATATCATATATACGTACTGCTGAGCTAGGAAGGAATACGCAAAAGGAATTGGTGAAGAAAAAATATCCATGTCCAATAATAACTCTTGGAGTTTGAGCCCTGGCAAATAAATTTCACTTCCAGAATGCAAAGCACCATTTTAAACAGATTTATAGAATTAAAAGTTTCTTACTAAGGTAGAAGAAGTTTCCAGGAAGAGAATTCTCATTCAGGTTGTTGTAAGTCAAATCAAGGACCTCAAGAGCTGGGAGAGAGCCAAATCCTCGAGGCAAAGTGTTCAGTCTATTCATGCTGTTACATGGGGAAAAAGATCCTAGATGTCACACACGAAACTCATTTAGACAGAATGCTCAGCTCACCCGTGTCACAGACCTAAAACCCATGTGTGACAGGCTGAATGCTTAGAAGAGGCCTTAATTCTATAATCACTTTATGTCATTTTAACCAACCTAGTCATTTTAGCCAGAGAATCTCTACATTCATGACGGTTTGAAAATGCCTTCATTGTCATTTCTCCAACAGTTAACACTCCATCACTGTTTTACATAGAAACATAAACCATCACAAAATATCTGTCCTTCCAGAGAAAAACTTCCTTAAGAATGTAGAAATAATAATTCCTCAAAAGATACACAGTAAGCTGTGTAATTTTCATATTTTTGCTTTATTTTATGTCACTTATTCTTCCCAAGGAGAGGGAAAGAAATCATTTTTTTTGTTCTGCAAATACTAATATTCAAAATGATCTCCAAATAGAATGGTGAATGCCAGGGGCTGAGGGAAGGAAACATGGGGAATTGTGTATTGGGTAAGAGAGTTTCAGTTTTGTATAAGAAACTGCTGGGGAGACCAGCTGTACCACAAATGTGAACATACAATGTGAAAATCATACACTTGAAGTGGTTAAGATTGTAATTTTTATGTTATACATATTTTATAATTGAAAAGAAAAATTTTAAAAATATATACATATATCTCCAATACAAAGAAAAATTTTCTATTACTGTTTCATTGTTTTCTTAAAGTCCCTTATTTCTCTTAATGTGGTTCCCTATGAGCATAATTAAAAGCTGATTTTAAAATATTTTCTTAAAAACTTCATATAGGCTGACAGATATTGAAAGGTAGGAGGGACTGTAACACTAAAAATAACTCTAGACATCAATCTTCAGATTAGACACAATCCTTTCCACGCCCACCAAGAGGCCTCCCCAGAGCTGACAGCACAACGGAAACCAAGGGAAGAGTGATTTCCACCTCTTACTAGAGAGGTCATAGGTTAACTTCCATGACCATTTGCTGTAGTGGTAACTGTTGACATTTTCTACAAATTCGCAATTTGTGAAGCATTATTTATATCAAGTATTTCACTGGGACTACCTGAACTATCATGTAATACAGGCAGGAGGCACTTCTAAATACCTCTAGTGCTGAGATGAAGAGACAGACCAAGAGACATTGGGTAACGAGGGCTTTGGATGAGAGACAGTACCTGTAAGCAGCTAGCACTTCAGGGAGGCACAGGCACTCCAGAACCCTGGATTCCAGATCAACGATCTGAGTGCACTGCCAGAAAATCACAGTGTGGGAAAGGCCAGAAGTATACATTAGGAGCTTCTTGTTTGAATATTGCTCTAAGTTACCAATATTTGAAAATCACCAAAAAAAGTTTCTGTCTCCACACACAACAGTACACTTTTGAAACACAAGGTACAGGAAATCCACAGTCAGAACTCTTTAAAGGCAGAGGCACGTCACTGAAGGGAGAGCTCCCATCCAACCTCCAGCTCTAGAGCAAGCCTGTAATTTAATCAATATATTGCTTCATACATGGATAAAGCATGAGGGGGCGTTATCATCCAAAAGCTACAACAGTGAAAATGGAATGCAGAAGCCCGAGCTCTGGGTGGCATCAATGGTGTCTGATGGAGAGGGCATGCAGCCCAAGTAACAGGGTTCTCTGCCAAGCTTGGTCACTGACCTTGGGGACTATCAGGAGCAAGTCACTCAATCTCTGGCAAGGAACTGGCTTCCAGGACATGAAAACAGCAATGCCTGCCCTCCCTTCCTCATAATTGATGAGAGGGTCAAATACCGGCATGACTTTGAAAACAGCAAAGCAATCCATGGCATGACTGTTCTTTATGCTGCCTGGCTTGCCACCTCAGCTGAATCCATACTCCCCTCTTCAACTTGGTAAAGACATAGGATTATAACCTCTCCACTCGATAAAAAAAGTGCAAGAATCATGAAGCAGCATTAGGAAAGGTTCCTTCCTGCTATAAAGGGAAGGAGCTGTGTCAATGATTTCTACTAAATACAGAGAGAAAAATTAACCACAGCACAACTGGTCTGAACAGTTCACCCTACACAAGTGAGTCCCTTCCTGGTCAACATAACAGAAATAAAATTTTATTGGAAACAAAATACAGTAAAAAAACTCCCTGATGCACCAACAATTAGCTTTGCAATTAGCTCTTAAATAGATATGCAGTAATGCAGGCCACTGAAAGGATGTATTAAAACAATAAAACTTTTTTAAAAACCTGCAACATAAAATGAAATTAGAAACCAGCAACTCCTATGCTGACTCACAGTTATCCCTGTTTGCCCGCAGCCCATCCCACTCACTCTCTTCCTCACCTTTACCTTCTCCTCCAGAACACTCACCCCAGGTTCAGGTGTTTGAGTTTTTGAAGGCTGCTGATCTGTGTAGGCAGCTCCTCGATCTGGTTATTAAAAAAGTTAAGCACTTCCAGATTCTTCAGTTCCGCTGTGTTGGGTGGCACAGCTACAGAAACAAACATGCTGAGTGTGAATACAGGAACCTCACTCCTCGAAAGGAAGGCTGGCAACACAGTTTGAATTTCTTTCACATGCGAGAGGGATAAATGCCAATATGACCGTCAAATTCAAGCACTCATCTTATTTTTTGAAGGTTTTCCTCAGTTGTAACTCACCACCCAGGAGAAATGGAAATGTTTCCTCAAAGGGCAAAAGAGAATTTCCATGCCATAAACAGCCTCTATGAAATATAAGGGGAGAGATCTTTACACATACCTTAAATGCACCCAGAAGCAAATGCACAGCCCGGGGACACTGCAGGGACCATACAACATGCTGCAGGGTCAGCAGCCCTAGCAACTTCTATCAGCCAGTGGGCAGCCCCACACCCTCCCCTCAGAGGATGAGAACACAGATGCAGAGAAGACCCTCTGCCTGGGGCTGGATGTTTATTGGGGGAAGGAACCATGGGGACACCACCACTGTCTTGGAATGGAATAGTGGAATCCTAAGGCACTTCAGAGGCCACAGCAACTGCAAGAGTTACGGCCCTGCTGCTCTCACACCAGCATGGTTGGCCAGGCAACCAGCCACACTGTGGCATCTCTCCTTCTGCCCCCTTTAGGGAAAGGGAGCCAGGACTGCATTTTGTTCACACTCAGAAACCACTTCCTGTCAATCCACTTCCTGCCACACATGGGAAGGAGGACACCCCCAGTGGGTAGGAATACAGACGGAGGGCAGGTTCTCAGGGGTCAATCTCACCTCTCTGGTGTCTCTATGGACATTTTACCAACCCTCCTTACACCTCAATTTCTCACCTCTGAAAAGCTGGCTTACTATTCTTACGACAATCACAGGAGATAGAGCACGAAAAGCCTAAGTAAGCACAGGAGGTCGGAACATATACTGGCCACTATTACAATAGTTATTATTGTACTACCATGTATTGTATCATTCTTGACTTTTTTTAAAAAAAGTCACTGTTCAAAAATATATGTCTTCACCTAAAGTTTAGATTTCTAACAGAAACTCTCAGGGGTTTATCATTTATTTCCAGCTAAGTGTTTGCCAACAATTATGAAAGGCTGCCCTGAGGCAGATGTTGATATTAGGCTTTTCTAGGTATGGCTTACAAAAATAAAGTCACTTACTGACTTTCTCTTTAATCTACTCTTGATTAAAAAATATATATTTTGTTACTGGAGAGTTTAATAGAAATATTAGATAAATATGATTATACACAGTACTTAAATAAGATAAGCAATATGAGTAAGATTTATAT